CACGGTCTGTTGTTCTACGGCGGCGTCCAGTGCCCCTTGCTCATTGCGCGCGGCCTTCTCGAAGCCATGCCTGACAACACCTAACCACAGTGTCTACACTTCTTTGCACTCTAACTGCAATTGCCCGAAAAGAAAGTCCAGCTTCCCGAAGTCCCACTATACGGCCCCTATCAAACTCACTAAGTTGACGAAATCGTACAGGTCTCCGTACTCTAGGCATCGTAACCGATCGTAAAGGATGTCAAGAACCAAAATTCGCCAACGTTGATTCTTTACTGCGGCTGAAATATACATTTTTAGAGCGTTAGTGAATTACAAAAAAGCAGTATAAAAATCGGAATGTCCAACTGATAAGGCTGAAAATTTTTGCACTTGTTATTTACAGTAAGATAAATACATTCACCAACTTTTATTAAAATAAAACCATTTAAACTGGGTGTTCGGATTTATATTTCACTTAGTATATTAGTTTTATTTAAGCTTTAAATCAATAAATCTTCAAAACTATTGAACTGAAGTACATTAATTTTATATGATTATAAAGGGAACTGAAAGTCCTTTAAAATAAGGTATCACACGACCCCCTTTCCATTTAAGATTTTGGGGATGGTGTCACCCCCGCTTAGGGGGCTGCACGTGCTAACGTGATTTTTTGCCAAAATTTTGTCCCCCTCGAAAACAAAATCGACGGGTCTGAGCGTTATTAAAAAAAACTGAGCCGCCGGAAAATGCGTCTGTTTCGTTTTGCGATGCGCCACCCTGTATATATTTTAACGTGAACCGTCGTCTTAATAACCAGTTAAGTGAGAAAAAGTTTCAGTCTTAACGCAAAGTGTACTCTTATTACTTTATTCTCTAGCGTTCGATGAACTCTGTCATCATTATCAGGAGCTACAAAACATTTGAAAAATATCAGCTACATGTGGATAATTGATCCAAAATTATGCAGTAATTTAAGATCAATTAATCCTGATTTATTAAGTAATTTAAAATCAATTATGGGTATATCGATATAGGCGATGTTTAACAACATTTCGTAGATTCTTCAATATACGCGGAAGAGTGATAAGAGGGGCTTACTGTCTTTCAACAATAACAAAGGCCTTGTGAAATCAATATACACCGACTTTTAATAACTAATTGGCATATTCTAACAGTAACAGGTTAAAAAAAGGATAAGTACCTTTTTGTCACTAGACCCCCGTCGTTCCAGTCTACCTCGATTACAGATCATAGGTTAAACATTATTTCGACTGCACCCGAGCAATGGTAAGAGATGAATATACTAAGTGTCATATAAATCCGAACACCCAGTTTAAATGGTTTTATTTTAATAAAGTTTTGTATAAGTACTTAATGAAGCATAATAAGTAAATGATAAAAATTTCAAAATGATTGCACTGCTTTAAAGCCCTTTGATCTTTAATAATGTGTGGATGCACCCTGATGTGCTGCGCATTCTCCAACGCGCCTAGGCATACTTCTGATCAGGTGGTCAATGTCCTCCTGTGGTATCTCATTCCAGGCAACCACCAACTCCTCTCGAAGTGCTTCTAGAGTCTGAGGAGGACGTTGCAAATTGTGCAATCTCCTACCCATCATATCCCACACGTGCTCAATTGGGGATAAGTCGGGAGATCTTGGTGGCTATGGTAACAATGTGACATTATTATGCTGAAAGAAGTCTATTGTGACTCTTGCAACATGTGGTCGGGCATTATCTTGTTGGAAAGTTGGATCTGCCAGGGTGTCAAGATAGGGAAAAAGATGGGGTTCTAGAACTTCGTGGATATAACGCTGTGCGTTCATGTTACCTCTGATGAAGATTCAAGGTGACCTAGAACCATAAGCTATAGCACCCCAAACCATAACTCCAACAGTGTGATGAACATGTCTTTCAACAAAAAACTGTGGATTCCTCCTTTCACCACGTCGCCTTCTAACCCTGGGACGACCATCGTGCATGCCTAAACAAAATCTAGACTCGTCACTAAAGACATTACTGTTCCATTCCTGATCCCAGAGTGACCGTTGTCTGCACCACTCAAGGCGATTACGTCGGTGTTCTCGAGTTAAAGGGAGGACCCAGTGTGGCCGGTATGAAAACAAGCCAAAACTTCTCATTCGTCGGTAAACACTTCGCATGCCAATAGGTCTTCCGTGTTCTGCAAACCATTCATTTGCAATGGACCTGGTAGTGGAGAAACGGTCCCTTAAGGCCAATAATCTTAGGCGACGATCTTCACGGTCTATTGTTCTACGGCGGCGTCCAGTGCCCCTTGCTCTTTGCGTACGGCCTTCTCGAAGCCATGCCTGACAACACCTAACCAATCCTTGCAATCTAACTGCAATTGCCCGAAAAGAAAGTCCAGCTTCCCGAAGTCCCACTATACGGCTCCTATCAAACTCACTAAGTTGACGAAATCGTACAGGTCTCCGTACTCTAGGCATCGTAACCGATCGTAAAGGATGTCAAGAACCAAAATCCGCCAACGTTGATTCTTTACTGCGGCTGAAATATTCATTTTTAGAGCGTTAGTGAATTAAAAAAAGCAGTATAAAAACCGGAACTGATAAGGCTGAACATTTTTTCGCTTATTATTTACAGTAAGATAAATACATTCACCAACTTTTATTAAAATAAAACCATTTAAACTGGGTGTTCGGATTTATATGTCACTTAGTATAATTCTCGATATATATGATTTGCTAGTCGACTAAACCGACTAATCTTCCGGATACACAGAGCGACGAGCACGAGGACGGTTCACTTTCCATCGCGATATCAAGCAAACAATCGGAATAAAAGGAGGTCGACATTACCCGTATTTACCTATGGGATTTGCTTAAGGACACAAAGCGAGCTCCACTATGCTTGCCTTCCAGATACATGCATAAACCGTGTGTATTGTGTGTTTTGTGCGGCCCCTAAGAGACCTCTATGTTGAATGCACCGCCGCTTGTTTCGGTCCAGTTTACGTCCTCCGCTGGAAGCCGGAATATGAGAAATTGTATTGCAAATAACCAACGTCATATGAAATACGGAGGTAGGCAACGAATAACTCTTAGGGTACGGTTATAGTGGATGCGTATTCTGACGAACTATCGTTCTGACGAAAAAGTCAGAACTCGCTCGAGCAAATCAACAAATACAAAAGCAATGATTGTGGCTATACTGTATGCGAATCGATCGTCAGATTACACACGAATACGTCAGATCAAGCTGGTCGTTCAAACAGTTTTGATTTTTTGTTGCGAATTGTTGCGATTTGTTTAATATTTTATTTTTACAAATATGGATGTCGAAAAACTTTATGTTTTGGGTTATGGGATATGCAGCAAAAAAACTACCATAACAGGGATATTTTCCCATCATTTCCCACACGTGCTCAATTGGGGATAAGTCGGGAAATCGTGGTGGCCATGGTAACAATGTGACAACATTATGTTGAAAGAAGTCTATTGTGACTCTTGCAACATGTGGTCGCGCATTATCTTGTTGGAAAGTTGGATCTGCCACTGTGTCAAGATAGGGTAAAAGATGGGGTTCTCGAACTTCGTGGATATAACGCTGCGCGTTCATGTTACCTCTGATGAGGATTAAAGGTGACCTGGAACCATAAGCTATAGCACCCCAAACCATAACTCCAACAGTGTGATGAACATGTCTTTCAACAAAAAACTGTGGATTCCTCCTTTCACCACATCGCCTTCTAACCCTGGCACGACCATCGTGAATGCCTAAATAAAATCCAGACTCGTCACTAAAGACTGTTCCATTCCTGATCCCAGAGTGACCGGTGTCTGCACCACTCAAGGCGATTACGTCGGGGTTCTCGAGTTAAAGGGAGGACCCAGTGTGGTCGGTATGAAAACAAGCCGAAGCTTCTCATTCGTCGGTAAACACTTCGCATGCCAATAGGTCTTCCGTGTTCTGCAAACCATTCATTTGCAATGGACCTGGTAGTGGAGAAACGGTCCCTTAAGGCCAATAATCTTAGGCGGCGATCTTCACGGTCTGTTGTTCTACGGCGGCGTCCAGTGCCCCTTGCTCTTTGCGCACGGCCTTCTCGAAGCCATGCCCGACAACACCTAACCACAGTGTATACCCTTCTTTGCACTCTAACTGCAATTGCCCGAAAAGAAAGTTTAGCTTCCCGAAGTCCCACTATACGGCCCCTATCAAACTCACTAAGTTGACGAAATCGTACAGGTCTCCGTACTCTAGGCATCGTAACCGATCGTAAAGGATGTCAAGAACCAAAATCCGCCAACGTTGATTCTTTACTGCGGCTGAAATATTTATTTTTAGAGAGTTAGTGAATTAAAAAAAAGCAGTAGAAAAACCGGAATGTCCAACTGATAAGGCTGAACATTTTTTCACTTGTTATTTACAGTAAGATAAATACATTCACCAACTTTTATTAAAATAAAACCATTTAAACTGGGTGTTCGGATTTATATGTCACTTAGTATAGTAATTCCGGGTAATATGAAATAGTACGGGTAATATGGAATAGCTTCTTATTTTTATGTAGGTAGCGACATCTGTATTTCAATACCTAAGCCAGCCTCTTTTACACCCTAAATACACAATAGCGTCGACAGGTTTCGCTGGTTGCCGTTCTCTAGTTTATAAACCGCAAATGAGCATTATTTGTGGTTACAAAGTTGTGCACGATAGTCATTAGCATTTTTGTAAAGGTGTTATTTATTTACAAATCTTGCTTATTTTGACAGGTGAGTCTGTTCAAATGTTAAGTTACTATTTTAGAGGGCTGTTACCATATTTTTTTCTTAAAACATATTTGCAGAGTGTATTTTTTTCCTCAGTTGCTGTTTCGGGTAATATGGAATATTCCATATTATACTGCTTCTAGGTATCCCATATTACACGATGTTTTTGTTTTGAGATTTAACGATATTTGCGAAGAGACAAAAAGCCTAATTATCAGCAAAAATTGGGTCGTTTTGCGTATGAAACAAGTTTTTTTTTGCAGAAACTATGTCGGCAGGAAAAAGAAAGCAATGGCAGTCTGATGAGCAGTCTGATGATATGCGCAAAGCAATTGAAGATGTTAGAAGTAACAGGTTGGGCTATTTATTTGCAAAACGTTATAACGTTCCACGAGCAATACTTCATCGCTTGTGCAATAAAGAAGGTTCTCCTGATACTGTTTCCAGTACTACATTAGGCCGAAAAACAGCTTTGCCACCGGAATTGGAAACAGAACTAGTGAAGTATTTGTTGATCATGGATCAAATGTATTATGGATTAACCAGAAAAGATTTGCGATCCATGGCTTTTCAGCTGGCTCGACGCAACAGCCTTCCACATCCATTTTCATTTTTACGGGAATCAGCTGGAAAAGACTGGTTGTATGGTTTTATGAAAAGGCACAAAGCTTCTTTGAGCATTCGAAAACCAACTGGTACTTCTCTAAATAGAGCTCTCGGTTTTAATAAGGAAGACGTCAATGAGTTTTTTAACCTGCTTGAGAAACTTATGACAGAAAAAGACTTTCATTGTGACAGGTTTTACAATGTTGATGAGACGGGGTTATGTATTGTACAATCCAAATGTCCCGAAGTTGTCTCAAAAAGAGGCAAACTGACAAGTAGGTGTACTAACGTCGGCCGAGCGAGGCTCCTTAGTGACTGCAGTTTTATGTATGAATGCAGCAGGAGGGTTCGTGCCACCCATGATTATTTTCCCTCGCAAAAATTCAAGTGAGCAGCTTAAGAAAGGAGCTCCTCCGGGCACCTCGGGATGGATTCAGACTGAGATCTTCACTAAATGGTTTGACCATTTTTTGGAAAGGACAAACCCCACCAAAGACAGTCCAGTACTCCTTATTTTAGATGGGCATCACACTCACACTCGAAATATTGACGTAGTCATAAAAGCCCGAGAAAATTTTGTAACAATATTATGTTTGCCTCCTCATACATCGCATAAAATGCAGCCTCTGGATAAAACATTCATGGGTGCCCTGAAAACATTCTACAATGAGGAAGTAAGGCTATTTATGCGGGCACATAATAGAGCCGTAACACATTTTGATATGGGCGAGTTATTTGGAAGAGCCTATACAAAAGTCCAGACTGCGGAGAGGTCAATAAAGGGATTCAGTACAACTGGCATTTACCCCTTTCGACGAGACGTATTCTCCGATGAAGACTTCTTAGCCGAACAGCAAAGACATCATGTGCCCCATCCTGTCACAGCAGATTTTCCAGAAAATAATGAACCAGCGCTATGTCATTCACCAAACATTCTCCCCAAGGATATCGCACCAATACTACAACTGAAAAAAAAAATAGGCTCGAGAGGAAGAAAACCTGGTCGTGCACGGGTAGTAACCTCAACTCCGAATAAAGAGGAGTTAGAGGAATGTATTAATCGTTCACGTGAGAAAGTTACTAAGAGACTAATCAATGAAGCAGGACCAAGTTCTTTTAAACAATCTGCGAAGAAAAAGAGAAAAGCACGTTCACCATCAACATCACCTTCATCATTAACATCTTCTTCAGAACTCGTTCCCGCAAACTCCTCTGATGAAGATGATCTCCCCCTGTCATCTTATATTAGTCCCAAGCAATGTGCTGATTACACGACGGAATGTATTTTTTGCCAAGAGATGTTCACGATGAGTAAAAGCAGAGAGGTATGGGTGAAATGTGTCATTTGTAACGGATGGGCTCATGAAGCTTGCACAAGTTGTGAAGGTGATATCTACATTTGCGGTTTTTGTAAATAAAATTAAGGCCTATCTAATTTGTTTTATATTTGTTAAATTACCTAACGTGAAGAATTAAACTTGTTTTTCGTATGATTTACCCTATTCCATATTACCCCACATACCTATTCCATATTATACTTCTCTTTTGTTTGACAGATAAAAATAACTAATTGGAAAGTATTTTTCTCTACACAAAAATGAGGTTTGCTTCAGTTGATCTGGTGGTAAGCAATTGTTAGGTAACATCGTATAAGTGTTTCAACAAATTTTCAGAAGAAAAGGTGTATTATTTTTTCAGTTATTGAGAGAAATGAGAATGGTATTCCATATTACCCGAAACTACTCTATATATTATTAGAAACTTTTTAGGGAAATCACATCTGCAACTACAAAATTGTTGGTTGTAAGCATAAGATATGCCACACGTTCTTCCTGTAAAACTTTGCAATTACATGATACCTGTTTTTTTTTAAACACAAATAAGAAATCTGAAAACCCAATAAAATAAGACGTTACCACCAAAGGCAATTTTTTAAATTGCGAATGAGTTATAAAAATCCTCTGAGGTAGGTTGAGTACCTTTCTTGAATTGAGGTTTCATACCATATTTTAAATGCATCCTTCACATCCATTGTATCTATGCTGCAAAGACTAATCATGCAATAAGTATTACAAGATTGCTTATTTTTTTAATACAGCACTGTCATGACGGAAGCAGGGTTCAAATAGGTCAACCGCCTCATCAATCTTAATTAAAATATAATTGGTTTATCAAAGCAACACAAAAGAGAATCTTAAATGCTTGAACATGGGGACAATGATTCAGAATGTAAAAAGATTTATAAGAATTAAGAAGTTAATGAACAGCACGGAGTATACGCACATGTGTCGTTGATTATTGACCTTGGAAGCCTGCCTAGCCATAAGCTGTAGATTTATTTTTGTATGTGTTATACAGGGTGTTCCCTAATTGAATGTCAATATTTCACGAGGCGATTTTTGGGTCCGCTTCAAGGAGAAAACTTGATATGGGCATATGTCCTAAACGAATTAAGTGGTGAGATTCAGGGCAGTAAAGTACGAATAAAAAGTACGTAAACTGAAGTATATTTTTGAAACCTTTCACTCACGCGTAGATTTGATCTCTTTATTTTTTTAGTCCGTGAACGATTTTCCCCTGCAGCGAAAACCGTCCATTGGATTGAAAAAACCAATTTGCTTAAATATAATAGGGAATTACAAAAATAACTTTTATTTCACGATGAATCAGTGGCATACCATCACTCTCCGTCAAAGCAAACTAATGGAATTTCATGTATGTCAAGTTTCATTAAAGTATCTGAAGCGGTATTACAGATATTAATAATAAAACATTTGTCTTTAAAATGTTCAGCATCATGTCTCTCAAAGGGTAAAGCATCCCACAAACCGGCGCGAAATATTCGCTTTGGCTGCGAAAATTTCGCGGCGATGAATTCGCGATCAGATTAAAACGCGGCGGTTTACGGACAGGCTCAGACTTGTGCGAAGCGAATGCGATTGTTCCAGCGTTTTTATCGCGGCGTATTTCAGTTCGCCTTTGACCGCGTTTTTGACGCCGTTCTTCAAAAATTCGCAATGGCAAAAACGGAATTATTGACAGAAATAGTGAATAAGTATCCTTGTTTGTATGATTTGTCGAACGATGAATACAGGAATGTGAGAAAGAAAGACAAGATTTGGATGGAAATAGGAAAAGAATTAAATACAAATGGCATGTACCTAATATTTTTTATTAACTTGTTAAATAATTTACAGTCTACACAAATGTGAAAACGAACATTCTATATATTGGGCATAGGCATATCAGAATTAGAATAATTTACGAATTTGGCACGAGTAGAAAATGCTAGCCTTGCTGCCCGCCGAGGATCATTTGCTATATCAGTAAAAGCTCCAAGCACGGATTCTGGGGGATCTAAGAATCGAAAATATTTGTCATCGCCACTTTTACTTCGTAAAAAATTGTGTAAAACACTGCCGTACGTATAATTAGAATAGTAGTATCTACTTTAGTTTCTAATGGCCTGTAAAATATTCGCCATTTTTGAGACAAAATACCAAACGCATTTTCCACGACCCTTCTAGCTCGACAAAGTCTTACATTGTATTTCTCTTTTCTGACGTCTGTTAAAGTCTGCTTATCAGGAAATGGTCTCATAAGGTATGGTTTTAAAGCAAATGCTTCATCACCAATTAAGACGTACGAGCAGATTTCATTTTGCCCAGGGAGAAATCTAGGTGCAGGGACCCTCATTAAATTTTGTTCAAATCGTATTCCCATGTTTGAGGTTTCGAAAATACCCCCATCACTATTTTTTCCGAAACCACCAATATCAACACATATAAATTTATAGTCCGGGCCAACAATGGCCATAAGTACTATTGAATATTTATGTAAATAGCACCAGTAATTGGAGCCACTGTTGTTAGGTCTCTTGATTGTTACATGTTTACCGTCCACGCTGCCAATGCAATTGGGAAATCCCCATCTATTTTCAAATTCTTCAGCACATTTTTTCCATATATTCTCTGTTGGTTCTGGTAAATATATATATGTTCCATATGTCTGCATATCGCTTCACAGACTTCGGTTACGATTGCACTCACTGTTGTAAAGCCAACTCGAAAGCTATGCCCAATGGTATAGAAGGTGTCACCAGTGGCAAGGAATCTATAAAAAAAATCGATTTTAGGTGATGAAGTAAAAAAAAGGTGGAAGAATATCAGAGACACATTTGCAAAATATATAAAATCTACCAAACCAAAAACCGGCCAAGCAGTGGGCAACATAAAGAAATGGCAGTGGGCTGACTACATGGAATTTTTCCGTCCTTTTTTGGCATTTGCCAAATCGTCGTCTAATGTGAAAGATATTGACGTCATACATTATGAGACTGCCAAATTTAACTCAAATATATAACAGGAAAGGGCTGGAAATGTAGAAACCGAAAATTTGGAAGACCGCGGCCATGGAGAAGATGAAAATGCTGATGTAGATGCAGAAGATGCACAGAACGCCTCGGCAACACAGACAGCACCACCTTCTTCATTGAACACTACAGCAGTGACTACTCCAGGGCACACCTTTCCGCAGACTGCAACTACACCAAAATATAAAACGAGCAGAAAACGCTATGAACCACCATCTTCGTCTGTACAACAGCTCATTAATTATTTTGAAGGTAAAAAACCTAAAAAAGAGAACAAGGCCAATGATTCACTTTTCTTGGCACATGCACAGACTGTGAAAACACTTCCCTTAAAGCGTCAAGCCCGAATAAAACTAAAAATAGCCGAATTAATAGCGCACGAAGAATTTGAACATATTGAAGAAATGTCTTCAGCGTCTACCCAGAATTCTGCAAGTATGTATGATAGTAGTATGTCGTCCTTCCCAAGCGGCACTGGGTTTACTCCAATAATATACCCAACAGAGGAGGCAAATTCTGCCTCGAATTATTTAGCAACATTTAATCCTAGTGGCAACATGTAGTCCAATTATTACAATAAAATATTTATTTCACGATCCCTGAAGTTTTCGTATTCGATAAGCCTACTAATTTTAATACATATAATTTTTTTACCTGAGTGTAATAGCAAGTCGTTCTTCTGGCGAAATAGCTTCACGATAATTTGTGTCAGATTTTCGTATTTCATCTTTCACCAAGTTCAATATTTCATCGAAATACTCTGGAGTCATTCTAAAATATACGTAAAAGCGCTGTTCATCCAGCCGAAGTTGTGGTATCAAGGTATGGTATTCCCCAAATTTATTTCGTTCCAAGTTAATATCATGTACCCACTTCCTTCGTTTCCTAAACAAATTTGAAAATATTTGTTTTATGTACTTCGTTAAACTTAATACATACCCAACTATCAAATGGCGTTAAATAAACATAACTTACCATGCATTTTGTTCTTCTTCTAAAGCAAAAAATAGAAGTGCCTCCTCTTCTTCTGAAGACGAGCTTATTGCAAAAGGCAAAAATAAAATGTACGCATCCTGTCGAAACCTTCACGTTCACGGAGCGAATAAGACGCTTTGGTATGAATAAACAGGCGAAACAGATTGCGAATTTCGCTCTGAATTTCGTTGCGAATACTTCGCCGCGATTATTTCGCGCCGGTTTGTGGGATGCTTAATACATTGAAGGACATGCGTTCTTAAGAAATTTTTTTTAACATGGACGATATAAATAGTGTTTTTTATATATCCCTTTTCTTTTGAGCTAGAATTCGCTAGCTAGTTGATTCAAACCCCACTTCAGTTGGCCCACTTCAAGATCTGTACAAAAATATGCCTTTATAAACTAAACATGACGAAAGTATTTACTTCTAAAACAATTTATTTTCTCAAAAACATTTTAGATACACTCTAGTCGTAAAAAATACATATTTGAAATCACTTAGTTATGGTTTGGGCGCCACAAAGTTTCAAGCACTAGGAGCAAAAATAACAAGTAACCAACGTTGGGTCTCTGGCGCTAAAGGAGATACAAGCTCACAAGGTACGCAAACATTTATCGAACAACAGATATAAAAAAAATTTAAAGAAGTTCTTGAGGACAAGCAAAAGAAAAGTTATTTTGTACTACCTCTCCAGCTAAATGAATTATAGTTAAAACTAGAATACAAAAAAACACCTAGGCAGGTGCTTGGCTATCACAGGTTGGCAACCGATGGCAGGAAGTCCCAGATGGAACTCAAACCCGAAGGTGGAACCAGAAGGTTCTCAGAAATGGGGAACTGCTCGTCACAGACGTGAGTCCTACTTAAATTTGCCTCGGAGTATCACTGCAGACAGTTTCCCTCATCTAGATGGCTCAGTGTAGCTGTGACAACGGCTAAGTCCCCGAAAGGTAGAGAAAAAAGGGATCCGACGACAAATTTCACCAAAGAGGCCGATTTCTATCAAAATCTCCACCACCCGATAAATCCGCAGCATTGGGTGTGAAATTATTTCACGACTGCGGGCT